CCAAAGTGCGGGCGCGACCGTATCATCCACCTGCGCCCTTCTCAGCTTCCGGTCTTGACTCTGTCTTGACACGGGGTCCAGGTGGGGGTGGTGGAGGAGAGGGTGCGGTAGATGCTGTGCAAGTCTACTTTCACTATAAACTAATTCACGCACAAGTTACCGTGCCTGTTTCACCTTGTTGTGGAGCACACGGTGGGCATCGGCGGCAACGCCGGCGAACTGTCATGTGTGTGTGTGTGTGTGAGAGAGAGCGAGAGTGATAGAGAGAGTCAAAGGAATTCGAAATATTTCTTAGCGTAGCCCAAATATGGAGCGGTGGAAAGATGGGCGAAGACTAACGACAGGGTGGGGACGTCCATTATGGCGATTGATGCGAAGTCTGGCAGTCGGTCCTGAAGAATGTCATGAGGATAGAGGACAAAGTCTCGCTCGGTAAGAAGTGGAAGTGATCGCTGGAACTTTTACGGGGTTGATTTCGCATGGGACATAAAACTGGCGATTCTCCAGTAGGTTTTTGGCCTTCTGAAGGTAGTCTGTTCTGTCCAATACGACGGTGGAGCGCCCTTTGTCGGCGGGTACGATGACGATGTTCCTCTCGGTCTTGAGTTCTCTTAGTGCATCACGTTCGACCTTTGGGAGTATTCCACGCGGCTTGTGAGTCATAAGGAGGGAGGAGACTTGGTGTCGGATAAGGTTCTTCGTCTCCTCCGTTGTTTCCGTCTGAATGATGACCGAGTCCACTGCTGCAATCATGGTGACAGGTTTGATATCAGCAGTGTTGAATGAGGCTTCGTGCCGTAAAACCTGTACTTGCTCCCTCATCAGTTCCTCTTACGACAGGTTGTGTACCCGTGTGCCGTCTCTGGATGACGTTAGATCAGGCAGTTTGTTAAATTTGTTCCCCAGCGCTGCGTTACGTGTCGCTATCTGTTCGCGCGCTCGTTTAGTCACCTGCTGAAGCAGTTTTATGCCGTTATCACCCACAAGCTCGCAGCATTTGGCCTTGTCCCAGTGACCGCCTCTACTTATTAACTAGTTCCTAAAGTCTCGCATATCTAACCGTAGGTGAACTGGGATGAAGGATACCGTAATCGGTCAACTAGATTGAGGTCGTCCTCATTCCCACAACTGCCGGAACACACTATGTTCGCGTGGATGCGGAGACGGGCCAAAGGGGGTCTCGTTACATCAAGGTAGGTGCACTGTCACAATTGACGGCAGAAGAGATGGGCGGCAGGTAACTTTAGCCCAGGAGAGCATTCCAGATAGGCAGTGATACTGTTTCGGCAACAGAAAACTCAGACGCGAAGTCCTCTGTACTTCCTCCCGTCCGCGGATACGACCTCGGGGTTCAGCATGTTATGAGAGTAGAAGAAGCATCCTACTTAGCCGCAGGAGAGCGTATCGAGCATCCGGTATTATGAGCTTATGGGATTATGGCAGAGGAGATTTGCTCCCTTCCCCTGGCAGTCCCCAGTGGTTTCGCAGGCGTTATCTGTATTCGGCTGTAACGCCTTTTATTGTAGGCCCTCGAATGGTTGGCGTTTGCTTTCTGAGTAATCCTTTCGGCGAGACCTCCTTGCAGTACGTTACTGCCTGCATGCTAGCGCACGTCCGGGGTCAGTACAGCTCCTGTTTGCCGGATCAAATCCAAAGCAACCGTTCACTCATGAGGATGGTCCTCCCTCCATTTAAGCTACAGAACTTGTCTCTATGCTATCGAGCATGACCGGCCATTCGACTTCCTGCTACTCGTGCTAGCGAATGTCCCCACTTTGTTCATTTGGTCTTCGCTCTCCTGTCTGACTGCTCACTGACAACACGATGGATCTCCAAGCCTGTCGTTAAGAGGAAACATCGGGTCTAAGTTCTGCGCTGATACCACACAAACGTGTTCAACATTAGACCACAACAGGACAGCGGGAACCGAAATACGACCACTGGCGAGGTTGGTTTGGACAGACAGCCAAGGGATGTCTACTTAGGCCAAACGGGGGTAGGGAGGGAGAGGGGAGTAATCAGAATTTAGTTGGATTTAGGGACATAAGCAAGGTGTCTGTGGGACGTTTTTTTATTTCATCACCGTAACATGCCGCCGAATGTTGTGGACGGGGATCCATGCTGCAGTTGTACAGTCCTTCCTGTTTAGTCGATGTGGCATGATGGCAGTTGCACAATACCCTGCCGCGAGCACAGTGCGGGCGAATGTCATGCATAGAGAGATGCCAGTTCGGCCGTCGCGAGGGACGTCGCGTTGCCCGGCAGCATGGCAGACACAGGGACGGTGACTTGATTATGAGTTATTTTATAGTGAAAGCAGACTTGCGCAGCATTTACTGCACTCTCCTCCACCCACGCGTGCCGACTGTCAACACAGAGTCCAAATGACCGGAGGCGGGGTCAGGTGCAATGAAAAAGCCTGCGTGTGCCAAACCCGCCTAGTTTTTTCATGATGGACGAAGGTTTCACAGGAACATGTGGAGCTCGGATCCCAACTGAGTAGGAGTGCCATAGAAGCCTCATCAGGAAGGAGCCTGACACGCCGTCCTGAGGGGACCGAGTTACCCTTTCGGTTGACAACCCTCCAAACAACGGCATTTGGCGAACCGTGATTGTAAAGAAGCTCTTTAGATTGTTCTTAACGAGAGATATGCACCGATTGCCGTGGGCACGGAGTCCCCCGAGTCGACCTCTCACTTCTGGCTCCCCGACCTATTAGTCCACTATCAGAACCTGTCAGTCATCTGATGCGGGGATTAGGCGAAAGTGGCTGACAGAGCTAGGCAGCCGGTAAGGACGTGCCGCACGCAACCTGGCCCTCCGCACATTACATCCGTTTCTCACAGGGGACTGACGACTCGGAAATCGCATTCGTAAGAGTGCTTCAGAGGCCATATCAAGAACGAGCCCTTGAGCCTCACTCACTGTATCCCAGTTGGCTACTCCACACAAACGCACAAGATCGACTGCGTTATCTGAGTTCTACCGTCATTTGACATCCTTTCAATCCGCAACATTTATTGCGTCGTGGTAGGTGATTGAAACGCGTAAGATTTAATTATTAGTGAGTAATTCGCTGAAGTGCGTGGGGAGAGATTCCCCAGGGTCTACCCCAATTACTCTTCCATTTCCCGGGAATCAGTCCACTGACTGAGCCTGTCATATTAGTCATATGAAGCGAGAATTGGGCACAAGTGGCTGACAGAACTAGACGGCCCGTCAACGCGTGCCACACACGACTTGACCTCCACACAACACACCAATTTCTCGCACAAAGGGACTTGTCTGCGGGGTCCCACATGCGTTAGGGAACCATGGAGGCGAAATGGAGAAGGAGCCGGCAAGCACGCCGTCCACTTACATGAGAGAGGCTTGGTGGATGAATTGGGACGGGTTCGCGTGTGGTGTATGTGTCGGTGGGGAGGTGTGTGATGATATGATTTAGTCTGCGGTGGCCTACCGCAGATTTTGTGGATGAGCATATGACCAGGTGTGTCTATGCGGTGACTGAACGTGCGTGGCTGTGCGGGCAGGTAGGGCGGATTTCTTGTCGGGACTGCAGGCACTGAGTTACCATTCTCTGCGATGGATTCGCAAGTGATCGAACAAGCCGATGAGGGGTGTTAAGGTACGATCGTGACGACGACAAGTTGGGATTGGGTCCGTATTGCTGGTGGCGGAGCTGGTGATTGACGGGGCGTCGCGAGGGTTCTCACTGCGAATGCGAATGGGAGGCGTGGTAGTCGTCGCTGCGGGTTCGTGACAGTGATGATGGCGGTGGTGGACAGAGACGGCTCAGTGGGGTATCGGTAGTGTGCTCGCCGTCGGTGACGATCGCGTGGGTTCTGCGGAAGGTTTGACGGTGGAGGCGTTTTAGGGTGTGTAGGCGGAGTCGTCGTATCGTTATTACGTCGGACCCGAAGATCCCCCACGAGGTCGGTCCGTGCGCAGAACGCCCGTTAGCAGCGAGGAGACGATGGCAGGGATTCGGCGTTGACGAATGGGGTCAGAGGCGCTTAAGACTTGCGAGCCGTCCTTTTAGCGTTGGCGTCAGCGATCTAGTTGGCTTCACTGATCTCCAGGCCGATCGGTCCTGGGCGAGGTCCTCCTAGGTCTCCAGGCGGGAAGTTTCCGTCCTCCATTTTGACGTTGCAACATCGCTGTAGAATGAACGCTTCGGTAGGCGCTCGTCGTCCGTCCTCCCGTTGTGGCCGTTCCATTGTATTCGTATTTGCCTAGTCGGGTATGGACTCCGGGAATTCCGATCCGCCCAAGAACTTTCATGTTCAGTACTCTGTCTTGCCACCACGGAAGTTCGACCGTCGTGATCGACAACGTTCACCGTGCACTCGAAAGCAGGGTGACATGAGGGACGGTGAATTGTGCGTGATTTCTTATATAGTGATAGTCGACTTCCGTTGCATCTACCACACACTCTCCTGCACCTGGACCCGATTTCATGGCAATCAAGTAGACCGGAGGTGGGAGAGGGCAAAGGTGACTGGCACTGCGAAAACCCTAGTCTTCGGGCTGATCTGTAGCTGCTTCAAGGAATTCTTCAAAGTGTCCTTGCAGCGACGGGTTAGACCTCCGTGTTGGCGAGCACCTGCGGCGGCAGCTCGATAGAAGATATGTTTTGATAGGTACTCACCCACCATCCTCACTAGATGGCCGCTCCGTTGTAGTTGAATTTGCCTCACCATGGAGTGGATGCTGAGTACTCCAACCTGTTGCGAAACTTCCGTGTCCGAGATCCTGTCTTCCCACCTTAGCTTTAGTATCCATCGTAGACGACGGAGGTGGAAATGACTGAGTTTCCACGCGTGCTGCTCGTAGACTGCCCAGGTCTCTGCTCCATACAGCCGCGTCGTAAAGACGACCGCTTTGTACATCTTCATTTGGTGTCGAAGTGGAGACCGTGAAGATTCCGGACGGAAGTCTGCAGCCGGCCGAAGGCCTGACCGACCTTGAAGATCCAGTGAGCCGCTCTGTCGTCGATTTTAATGCAGCGCGAGTGTGTCGCCCAAGTAGGCGATGCTGTTCACGGTCTTCATTTGGGTGTCGTTGACGCGGATACGATAAACACTGCATGTGTTGATGGTCAGTCCAAAATTGGCGCAGTCGGAGGCAAAGAGGTGCATGCTCCGCTGTATGTCTGCTTCTGTCTCAGTGTTTGACATGCAGTCGTCCGCGAAGGGCAGATCGTGGACAGTAGTCATGAAGTAACGTGGTGAGGCCTGCGTGCGCTGGCTGTTGGGAATATGGTCGTTAGTCCTGTAGGCGATGCGGATTCCGGGGCGCTCATCTCGGTAGGCGTCTGTCAGTGTGGTAGAAAACATGAGGCGAGTACGCAAATCTTCTTAACTCCGTCGGTAACTGCAAATGCGTCCGACACCGTCCCGTTGCCCTTGATGCGCGCCATCATCCCCTTGTGGAGCTAACGCACCATGTGCGTGAATTGCTCAGGACAGCCAAGTTTTTGCTTTATTTCCCAGGGTCCGTCCCGATCAACCGTGCCGAAGGCCTTCGTCAAGTCCGCAGTAGCTGATGAATTTCAGCTCAAACATTCATATCAAATTTCGGACCGTGCGTGAAGAGGTCTCTTCCGAAGGATTTACTCCAAGTTCGCGCACTAATTTCCTCAGAAATTAAACAAGGCACGGAAGAAAGTGTTGATCAAGAGGGTGTATTGTTTTGTGTGGGCCAATAAAAAGAGGAGACCGTTGTTACTGCGCGCGTTGATTCCGTGGGGACCCAGCACTCCTTACCAGACAGCATGGTCTGTTTGTACACGGGTATTGAAATCACCAGGGCCAGTTAGCTTGTCCGCCTTCTGTACAGTAGCCGGGAGGGCGTGCATGTCCACCTATAATTTGTTCTTCGACTAGTCGTAGTTGGTCATTGGGGGAGGGGGTCGTGGGTGCTGATAGTGGTGGTGCATTTGACTGCCCGAGGAGTCGGACGCAGGGTCAAGGGACAGTAGGTGATTCCCTATGGCAGGCTGGACAGTCGTTTCACGATGCCGTCGTCTCGCGATGACAAAGGCAACGCCAGCGTCGCGTCACCCTATCTTCGGGCGGCTACTCTAGAAGAAGGTGTAGCCGACATCCACCTCCAGCTGACCCTGCACAGAGAATCGGATCTTGCTGAGAGCAATTTTGTCTGCCGTGAAGCACGCCAGTTCTCGATCAACCAGCTTCTTCCTTCTTGCCGGCCGGCTTCACAAAGGATTGTTTAAAATGGAACAAACATCCCAGGTTGCCAGAATGGGCTGAGTTGCTTTAGCAGCCTGTGGAGTGGGATAGGGAATGTGTACTAGTGTCGTTTTTCGTTTGTTTGTTTCGCCAGCGAGTTTCGCATCGACGAACCATGGTATACTTGTAGGAAACGTGGACCCAACATTTGTTCGAGACACTTTTTAGCACCTTTCCCCGAGAAGGTAAACAATCCTGTCCACAAATAGGACTGCTTATACATCCCAGACGGCCATTGAACTCCACAATGGGTCATTGCTTGATTTAGTGGGAAAGCAGCCCAAGTTAGCCTGGGTTGCCTAAGGTATTTTCTGTCTTCCTCTTCGTGAGGCCT